TCCAGTACCATACATGGCTCAGTAAATCCGCAGATTACAAGAATTTCATACAGCACTTAGGCACATACGACCACCGTCAGTGCAGACTCCATTGCTCTACGCCAATGCATCGGGCCCCCGTCCATGACTACGGGCGTATCTGTGTTGTGCCTCAGCTTTGCTGAAGGTATTCATTCACCCGCGCCTTGATCGACTTCAAATCATCAATGATGTGTGGTGAGTGCAGTGCAGGGTGAGGAGGGAAAGAGGGCGCATTTGAGGGCAAGACATCCTCAGATGCTACACAAGTTGATAGAAGATTTATGCATGTGTCTGTGCACTGAACAAGTGTACACCTGGTACACAAGTTGATAGGAGATTTATGCATGTGTATGTGCACTGAACAAGGGAGTTGCAGCAGCAAACGACTGTGATGTGGCTGAAGAAGTTCAGAAGATTTACATACATTAGACCGGGATGTCACAGAGAGAGCGGACAAGTGGTGAACAGGAGGCATGCAGGGATGATAACGGCTGAGAAAGTGAGAAAGCGTGCATGTAGGGAGAGTGCAGAGAGGCAAGGAGGCTCACCGCTAGCTCTTGCTGCACGAGGGCAAAGACGGCCTTCATTTGATGCAGGCGCTGAGGGGAGGGCAGTGCAAGGCAGCAACGAGTGAGAGTGGAGGGGAGTGCAAGGCAGCAACGAGTGAGAGTGGAGAGAGAGCCCAGACGGGTACCTTGTGCCTGCTGTGGAACACGGTGCATGGGTACCTTGTGCCTGCTGTGGAACATGGTGCATGGGTACCTTGTGCCTGCTGTGGAACATGGTGCATGGGTACCTTGTGCCTGCTGTGGAACATGGTGCATGGGTACCTAGTGCCTGCTGTGGAACATGGTGCATGGGTACCTTGTGCCTGCTGTGGAACATGGTGCATGGGTACCTTGTGCCTGCTGTGGAACATGGTGCATGGGTACCTTGTGCCTGCTGTGGAACATGGTGCATGGGTACCTTGTGCCTGCTGTGGAACATGGTGCATGGGTACCTTGTGCCTGCTGTGGAACATGGTGCATGGGTACCTTGTGCCTGCTGTGGAACATGGTGCATGGGTACCTTGTGCCTGCTGTGGAACATGGTGCATGGGTACCTTGTGCCTGCTGTGGAACATGGTGCATGGGTACCTTGTGCCTGCTGTGGAACATGGTGCATGGGTGCCTTGTGCCTGCTGTGGAACATGGTGCATGGGTACCTTGTGCCTGCTGTGGAACATGGTGCATGGGTGCCTTGTGCCTGCTGTGGAACATGGTGCATGGGTACCTTGTGCCTGCTGTGGAACATGGTGCATGGGTACCTTGTGCCTGCTGTGGAACATGGTGCATGGGTACCTTGTGCCTGCTGTGGAACATGGTGCATGGGTACCTTGTGCCTGCTGTGGAACATGGTGCATGGGTACCTTGTGCCTGCTGTGGAACATGGTGCATGGGTGCCTTGTGCCTGCTGTGGAACATGGTGCATGGGTACCTTGTGCCTGCTGTGGAACATGGTGCATGGGTACCTTGTGCCTGCTGTGGAACATGGTGCATGGGTACCTTGTGCCTGCTGTGGAACATGGTGCATGGGTACCTTGTGCCTGCTGTGGAACATGGTGCATGGGTACCTTGTGCCTGCTGTGGAACATGGTGCATGGGTGCCTTGTGCCTGCTGTGGAACATGGTGCATGGGTACCTTGTGCCTGCTGTGGAACATGGTGCATGGGTGCCTTGTGCCTGCTGTGGAACATGGTGCATGGGTACCTTGTGCCTGCTGTGGAACATGGTGCATGGGTACCTTGTGCCTGCTGTGGAACATGGTGCATGGGTACCTTGTGCCTGCTGTGGAACATGGTGCATGGGTACCTTGTGCCTGCTGTGGAACATGGTGCATGGGTACCTTGTGCCTGCTGTGGAACATGGTGCATGGGTGCCTTGTGCCTGCTGTGGAACATGGTGCATGGGTACCTTGTGCCTGCTGTGGAACATGGTGCATGGGTACCTTGTGCCTGCTGTGGAACATGGTGCATGGGTACCTTGTGCCTGCTGTGGAACATGGTGCATGGGTACCTTGTGCCTGCTGTGGAACATGGTGCATGGGTGCCTTGTGCCTGCTGTGGAACATGGTGCATGGGTACCTTGTGCCTGCTGTGGAACATGGTGCATGGGTACCTTGTGCCTGCTGTGGAACATGGTGCATGGGTACCTTGTGCCTGCTGTGGAACATGGTGCATGGGTACCTTGTGCCTGCTGTGGAACATGGTGCATGGGTGCCTTGTGCCTGCTGTGGAACATGGTGCATGGGTACCTTGTGCCTGCTGTGGAACATGGTGCATGGGTACCTTGTGCCTGCTGTGGAACATGGTGCATGGGTGCCTTGTGCCTGCTGTGGAACATGGTGCATGGGTGCCTTGTGCCTGCTGTGGAACATGGTGCATGGGTACCTTGTGCCTGCTGTGGAACATGGTGCATGGGTACCTTGTGCCTGCTGTGGAACATGGTGCATGGGTGCCTTGTGCCTGCTGTGGAACATGGTGCATGGGTACCTTGTGCCTGCTGTGGAACATGGTGCATGGGTGCCTTGTGCCTGCTGTGGAACATGGTGCATGGGTACCTTGTGCCTGCTGTGGAACATGGTGCATGGGTACCTTGTGCCTGCTGTGGAACATGGTGCATGGGTACCTTGTGCCTGCTGTGGAACATGGTGCATGGGTACCTTGTGCCTGCTGTGGAACATGGTGCATGGGTACCTTGTGCCTGCTGTGGAACATGGTGCATGGGTGCCTTGTGCCTGCTGTGGAACATGGTGCATGGGTACCTTGTGCCTGCTGTGGAACATGGTGCATGGGTGCCTTGTGCCTGCTGTGGAACATGGTGCATGGGTACCTTGTGCCTGCTGTGGAACATGGTGCATGGGTACCTTGTGCCTGCTGTGGAACATGGTGCATGGGTGCCTTGTGCCTGCTGTGGAACATGGTGCATGGGTACCTTGTGCCTGCTGTGGAACATGGTGCATGGGTACCTTGTGCCTGCTGTGGAACATGGTGCATGGGTACCTTGTGCCTGCTGTGGAACATGGTGCATGGGTACCTTGTGCCTGCTGTGGAACATGGTGCATGGGTACCTTGTGCCTGCTGTGGAACATGGTGCATGGGTACCTTGTGCCTGCTGTGGAACATGGTGCATGGGTACCTTGTGCCTGCTGTGGAACATGGTGCATGGGTACCTTGTGCCTGCTGTGGAACATGGTGCATGGGTACCTTGTGCCTGCTGTGGAACATGGTGCATGGGTGCCTTGTGCCTGCTGTGGAACATGGTGCATGGGTACCTTGTGCCTGCTGTGGAACATGGTGCATGGGTACCTTGTGCCTGCTGTGGAACATGGTGCATGGGTACCTTGTGCCTGCTGTGGAACAAGGCATATATCCGCCGCTTATACCGCTCCTTCTCCTCCTCATCCTCACACTCGTCCATTTCAGTAAATATCCGCTCCGCTTCTTCCCTGCCACGCATGCATGGCAGCGCAGTGAGGCAAGGCAGGGCAGCAGCATGTACACATGCCTCAGTGCATCACAGCAGCATGTACACATGCCTCAGTGCATCACAGCAGCATGTACACATGCCACAGTGCATCACAGCAGCATGTACACATGCCTCAGTGCATCACAGCAGCATGTACACATGCCTCAGTGCATCACAGCAGCATGTACACATGTCACAGTGCATCACAGCAGCATGTCCACATGCCTCAGTGCATCACAGCAGCATGTACACATGCCTCAGTGCATCACAGCAGCATGTACACATGCCTCAGTGCATCACAGCAGCATGTACACATGCCTCAGTGCATCACAGCAGCATGTACACATGCCTCAGTGCATGACAGCAGCATGTACACATGCCACAGTGCATCACAGCAGCATGTACACATGCCTCAGTGCATCACAGCAGCATGTATACATACCTCAGTGCATCACAGCAGCATGTACACATGCCTCAGTGCATCACAGCAGCATGTACACATGCCTCAGTGCATCACAGCAGCATGTACACATGCCACAGTGCATCACAGCAGCATGTACACATGCCTCAGTGCATCACAGCAGCATGTACACATGCCACAGTGCATCACAGCAGCATGTACACATGCCTCAGTGCATCACATGGCCCACGTGTGAGCCCTCCCCTCCCCTCCCTGAATGCAGTGCCTCACCGCTGGGCGTCGAGGATGCAGTGCAGGCGCAGGTACACGGCGTACTTGTCTGTGAACTCCGCGTGGTACAGAGCGTACCTGCCACCCGCCCACCCCACCATGACACATGTGCTCCATCAGCGTGCAGTGGTGTGGGCAGGCATGGCATGCAGTGTTGTGTGCTGCCACGGCATGCAGTGTTGTGTGCTGCCACGGCATGCAGTGTTGTGTGCTGCCACGGCATGCAGTGTTGTGTGCTGCCACGGCATGCAGTGTTGTGTGCTGCCACGGCATGCAGTGTTGTGTGCTGCCACGGCATGCAGTGTTGTGTGCTGCCACGGCATGCAGTGTTGTGTGCTGCCACGGCATGCAGTGTTGTGTGCTGCCACGGCATGCAGTGTTGTGTGCTGCCACGGCATGCAGTGTTGTGTGCTGCCACGGCATGCAGTGTTGTGTGCTGCCACGGCATGCAGTGTTGTGTGCTGCCACGGCATGCAGTGTTGTGTGCTGCCACGGCATGCAGTGTTGTGTGCTGCCACGGCATGCAGTGTTGTGTGCTGCCACGGCATGCAGTGTTGTGTGCTGCCACGGCATGCAGTGTTGTGTGCTGCCACGGCATGCAGTGTTGTGTGCTGCCACGGCATGCAGTGTTGTGTACTGCCACGGCATGTAGTGTTGTGTGCTGCCATGGCATGCAGTGGTGTGTGCTGCCATGGCATGCAGTGGTGTGTGCTGCCATGGCATGCAGCGGTGTGGGCAGGCATGGCACACAGTGGTGGTGTGTGCAGGCATGGCAGGGGCCCTTACTGGTCGCGAGATGTGATTGGCCCCTTCAGCTCGGGCTTGTCCTTCTCATACGCCTCATACAAGGACGTGTCATGCCCCTCCCACCCCTCATCGCTGCCATCCTCTCCCTCTGCCACTCCCCCCTCCTCCGCTTCCTCCTCATGCCGCCTCCGCTTCTGCCTCGCCTGCCTCCCACTCTCCTCTCCCTCTGCCCATCCCCCCACAGCAGCCGCGGCGGCATCTGAGGCAGGCGGGGAGTCGGGGTGAGCATGGGGCTTGTCAGCACTGCCACCCACTCCGCGCTTCATCCCACCACCCATGTCTGCCAGCCCGCCTTCCCCTGCCCCATCCTGCCCGCCCTCCTGCCTCCTTCTCTTCTCCCTCTTCTCCCCCACCCTGCCTGCTTTACTTTTCTTCTCCTTCTTCCTCTTCTCCACCTTCCCCACCTCCCTCTCCTCCATCACTTCGGCCCCCACTACTACCCCTTCACCCCTGCCGCCTTCACCCCTGCCGCCGTCACCCCTGCCGCCTTCACCCCTGCCGCCTTCACCCTCTCGCCCCAGCGGCCCAGATCCCTTTAGCAGCCCACGGGGCCCCTCGTCGCCCCCTCGCCCTGCACCCACCTCCTCCAACCCATCTCCATCCCCACCCTGCCTTGCCACCTCCTCCCTCGCACCGCCCACCTTCTCCTTCTCCCTCATGTCCTCATCCTCCCCACCCTTCACACGCAACCTTTTCTTTGCCTTACTCTCCTCTTCTTGCCTTTCCTGCATCTCTCTCTGCTCCTTCTCTACCTGTCGCCTCTCCGTTTCCCTCTCTTCCCTGTCCTTTTCCTGTTTCGCTCTTTTCTCCTCCTCCCTTCTTTCCCTCTCTTCTGTTTCCCTTCTCTCCCTTCCAAGCCTCTCTGCCATTTCCTTATCATCTTTCTCTTTCTCTTTCTCTTTCCTCTCCCTCTCCCTCTCCTCCCTCGCCATCAGAGCTTTCTCTTTCTCTCGCTTTTCCTTCTCCCCTTCTTTCGCCTCCCTTTCTTGTTCTGCCCTCCGCTCTGTATTCTCCTTCGCCCTCCGCACCTCTTCCTCTCTCATTCTCTCCTCCCTGGCCGCGCGATCCGCCTCCTCCCTCTCCCTCATCCGCCGAACATTATCCTCTCTCACTCTCTTCCTCTCCTCCTCAAGCTTCTCTTTTCTCATTCTCTCCTCCTCTTCTGCCTTTAACACTCTCTCCTCTTCTGCCTTTCTCGCTCTCTCCTCCTCTTCTGCCTTCCTCACTCTCTCCTCTTCTGCCTTTCTCACTCTCTCCTCTTCTGCCTTTCTTGCTCTCTCCTCCTCTTCTGCCTTTCTCACTCTCTCCTCTTCTGCCTTTCTCACTCTCTCCTCCTCTTCTGCTTTTCTCACTCTCTCCTCCTCTGCCTTTCTCACTCTCTCCTTCTCCTCTGCTTCCCTCAGTGCCCCATCGTCTTGCTCCTCACTCTCTGTCGCCTTAGCCTTCGCTTCCTTTCCAGCCCATGCCTCCTCTGCCTCCCCTTCATCTCCTTCCTCCGCTTCAATCCCTTCCTCCCTTTGCACCCCAATTGTCCCGTCCTCCCCCTTCCCTTCCTTTCCAAGCTCATCCCTCTCACCATGCACATCAATGCTATCTCCCTTCTCCCCGCTACCATCCACCTTCAACTCCCCCTCCTCCCCCTCCTCCCCTGCCTCTCCTTGCGTTTCAGAATCAGTCTTGTCCGCTCTCCCTTCGCCCATCCCACCTTCTTTGTCCTCGCCCTCGCCGCCTTTCTCATCCCCCTCATTCTCTATCCTCACGTCATCTCCTACCATCTCCCCCTCCTCCTCCCCCTGCCCCTCCTGCAACTCCTTCCCTCCTTCCACTCCCTTCTTTCCATCAACCTCTTTCCCTCCATCTTCCCCTTTTTCACCAAGTCCCCCCTCCCCCCCTTCCGCCCAGGTCCCCTCTTCCCCCACACCCCCCCTCCCCCCCTGCCTACCCGCCTCCTCTCCTCCAGTGCTCGCGTCTGCCCGCCCCTCTTGAGCTGCCCTCGCCTCTCTCTCCGCCCGCCCATGCCCGTGCCCGTGAGCGCGCCCCTCGTGCCGCGCCCTCGCCCCCTTGCCCTCCGCCCTCTTCTCTGCCTCGCCTCCGCCCCTGGCGCTGTCCGCCCCGTCCCCATCGTCGATGTCGATGTCGATCTCACTCGCACTGCCGCTGCTGCCGCTGCTGCTGCTGCCCGCATCTCCCTCCCCCTCGCTCTCACTCCCGCTCCCACTCTCACTACCACTGCCACTCCCACTCCCACTCTCACTCTCGCTCTCACTCCCACTCCCACCCTCGCTACTCTCACCTTTCACCTGTCCCTCGCCCTCCAAACCTCCAGTCTCCCCAATGGCCCCTCCTCCCTCCCCCTCTTCCCCTTCCCCATGGGAGGGCGACTCATCCCCAAACAAGTCTTCCAGCCGCACCTCCTCTCCCCCCTCCTCCTCCCTCCCTCCCTCCTCACCCGCTTCCCCCTTCTTCTCCTCACCCTCCTCCCCGCCTGCCCCTTCGCCCTTTGAGTGATCCCACCCGTCATCCCCAGTGCCCTCCCCTAAGCCCCTCTCTCTTGCCTCTTCCCCTGCTGTGCTCACCCCCCCCTCCACCACTCTGCCCTCCTCCTCCCCCTTCCCCTCGTTCCCCACCTCTTCCTCTTCCACCACCAACTCCTCATCCTCTTCTTCCTCCTCCTCCTCCTCTTCCTCCTCCTCCTCTTCCTGCTCCTGCTCCTTCTCCCCATCCCCATGCCCATGGCCATGTGCGTCCCCGCCCTCGTCGTCGTCGAAGCCCGTCTCGTTGAGGTTCAGCAGCGGCACCCTGCCCGCCCGCGCCCCCTCCCTGCCACCCCCACCCTCTGCCGCCTCCACGCCTCTGCGCGGAAACGGCCGGGGGGAAAGGGGAGGGGGGGTATGGGGAGAGTAAGAACGGGAAGGGAGGAAGGAAGGAGGAAGGAAGGGGTAGGGGGAGGAGAAATGGGGACGGGGCAGGGAAGGCACGATGGCAAGAGATGGTGAGAGTGAGGAGCAGCAGGGCGGTGAGAGTGAGGCGCAGCAGGGCGGTAAGAGTGAGGCGCAGCAGGGCGGTGAGCATGGAGGGCAAAGGCAATAGAGGCTTTAGGGCAGCGATGGAGGGCCGGGGGGAGAGAGGGAAAGGGACGAGGAGCAAGGGGGTGGTTCTCACGGGGAGTGCCTTGGAGGCGTGGACGCGGGGCGGGGGGATGCCGATGGGAGGGGGGACGTGGATGGGCGGGGGGAGGCAGCAGCTAGAGGGGAGAGAGGAGGTGTCCTCAGAGTGGAATGCGATGGCAGGGGGGAATGCCCGGGCAGAGGAGAGTGTGAGGATAGAGGAGAGTGTGAGGGCAGAGGGGACGTGGAGCGACGCTGTATGGGCGAGCGCCCTGCGGCTGCTGCTGTTGCTGCTGCAGGGTGTGCGGCCTGGGCGACCTCCTTGATGTGTGGCAGCAGGCGGTAGTACCCCGGCGCATGCAGCCTCGCTATCTGCACGCCCCCCGCGCACCATGTGGCACGGATGGGCGGTGCAGGTACAGGGAGTGCAAGAGGTGGAAGCAATGTGTTGAAAGATGATGTGGCGATCAACAAGTGCACGAGGAGGTTGGTGGGGAAAGGAGGCGGTTGGGACCAAAAATGGTCGGGAGACTAAACTACCATTGGTCCCAACTGGTGGTTGAAATAACCAATCACAAATGGTGGATTGACAACCCGACACAAAGGCACACCGAAGAGGGGCTACATTCGTACGTGAGCAGTGCATGGGTGCACGGACAGCTGTTGTAGCGGAGCGGGGTACTGCATGACATTGCAGCCGGGGAACGAGGTCACAGCAATGAATCTCAAGGGGCGCACCCCCGAAGGCCAAACCTAGACTGGCAGGTGCAATCTCTACCGAGTCACGCAGTGCACGTGGGGAAGGGACTGACCCCCCCATTGCGTGTGGGGGGGGGAGGGACTGACCCCCCCATTGCGTATGGGGGAGGGGAGGGACTGACCCCCCCATTGTGTGTGGGGGAGGGGAGGGACTGACCCCCCCATTGCGTGTGGGGGAGGGGAGGGACTGACCTGCCTGACGACTTTGTCGAGCTGCGCCCAATCATGCCCCGTTGCCCTCTCCATCGCCTGGTGCACTCATGCACGCACACACACACACACACACACACACACACACACACACACACACACACACACACACACACACACGCATACACACACACACACGCACACGCACACACGCACACACGCACGCACACACACACACGCACACACACACACACACACACACATCTGCTTTTATTGATGAGGGGATTGTGATCCATTGCATATCCCCGCCCTCCTTTTCTCAAACTCTCGATGTCTTCCATCCCACTACCCTCCCCTACCACTCACACCCACCCTCCCTCCATCTCCCCCTCGCCCTCCATCCCCTTACCCTCCCCACCCACTCACACACTCCCTCCCTCCCCCTCCTCCTAACTCTTCCATTATTTTTTACCCCTCTCTCTTTTATTCTCTCTTCCTTTTCCACTGTCCCGCTCCCATTTCACTGCCACTGCCCCTCTCCCTATTCTCTCCCCCCACGCCACCGCTCCCCCCAGCCCCTGTCTCCCCTTTGCCCGCCATGCAGCGCGGCGCTCACAGTTTTGCTGACGCCCTTGGGGTTGCGCCCCAGGATGTCCACCAGGAACGCGCGCAGCTCGCCGGCCGGCACCACAGCCACCTGGGGCGCCTGAGGGGTGTCAGGCGTGCCCCCCAGCAGGGCGGCTGCGGCACGGTTGTGTGCGTCGGGTGCATGAGCGGCCGCGCGCGGGGGCGTGCCGTGGGCGGACCGCGGCTCCAGCGCCCTCCCCACCGACAGGTCCGGGGAGATGGCGGGGGGGGTGGCACGATTGAAGGGCGACAGGCGCTGCTGCTGCTGCTGCTTGGGCAGAGGGGGGATGGGCGGGGCTGAAGATCGCTTGAAGAGCCCTGCCCAGGGGTGATGGGCGCCAGCACGGGGTTGACGGAGAGGAGAGGAAAGAGAAGGAGGAGGTTGAAGAGGCACACAGAAGAATGGAGAGTGAATGGAGCACATGGGCGCACAAGCAGCAAGTGAACGTACACATGGGATGCATGAGGGGTGCAGCATGCTGACGCCACCAAGAATGCACCATTCAGTGTGCACGTGCATTCAGTGTGCACGTGCATTCAGTGTGCACGTGCATTCAGTGTGCACGTGCATTCACCCCACTGCCTGCCTGCGCGCACCTGGCTTCTTCTGCACGCCCAAGCTCGCAGCGCCCCTCCCGGCACCCCTGTGCACTGCAGGTGGGGGGCAGGGCCGCACAAGCAGAAGCAGGCACATGGTTAAAAAAAAATAAGGGAGAGAGAGGTAAGGATTGTGGAGGAATGCAGGCCAGAAATTGATGTTGGCTACACAGATGGATGGCACGACGAGACGAGGATTGGGCGGCAAAGCATCATACCGTCAACGGTGGGGGCGGCTGCCTTGTTGCCCTTGAGATCCACCAGCTTCAGCCTGCCGTGCCCCACGCCATGCACACACCACGCACGCGCCACTCACACGCCACGCACACGCCACGCACACGCCATGCACACGCCACGCACACGCCACGCACACGCCACGCACACGCCATGCACACGCCACTCACACGCCACGCCACGCACACGCCATGCACACGCCACGCACACGGCCACGCACACGCCACGCACACGCCACGCACACGCCATGCACACGCCATGCACACGCCATGCACACGCCATGCACACGCCATGGAACATGCCGCAGCCCAGCCGTCCAGACGCACGCAAGCCCAGGAAGAGGGGAATGGGGAAGTGCGTGAGATTCTTTCATGCCATGGCATGGCATGTCGGCACAGCACAATGCGAAGGTGAACCATGCATGCCATCACATCACATGCATGTGTGCACTGCCATGCCTTGCCTCCCATGTCTCCCTTGCCACCCATCACACGGGCAGCATGTGCCGCATGTCTCACGAGGAATGTACCAACCATCGTCACAAGGAACAGCGCCACAAGGAACAGCGCCACACTCACCACGCCCGGCATCACGCCATTGCACATGCCACCACACGCCTTCATTTCTTCTCCCATTCCCCTCCCTTCCACTCCCCGCCCTTCCCCCTCCCCCCCTCTCCCCCTGTGCGCACTTGTTACTGGCGACTTTAGGAGTGCTCTTGGTGAGGTCGCGCCACTTCTCCTTCTCGCGCTCGTCCAGCGGCCGCTGCACGCTCAGCTTCCGCGCCACCTGTGCCACGTGCTCCAGCGCCCGCCGCTCCCCGCCCTCCGCACCGCCGCCCGCCGCGTCGCCGGGCGGCAGGAGGCGGTAGACGTCGCAGAGCGCGGGGTCGGGCTCGCTGTGCGACGTGAACTTGAACTCCACGCCGCCCACCCTGATGGCCTGCCCGCGGGGGAAGGGGGGGAAGGGCGAGAGAGGGATGGAAGCGGCGGCTCACAGAGGGTGGTGACAGCATGGGAGAGTGGAAGACGCTTTAAAGACTTGAAGGGACCTTCCACTTGCCTCGACTCCCCAGCGCCCTTTTCCTCACACTCAACCCCCTCTCAACCGCCTCCCCCTCTCCTTTACTCTCCCTGCCCACCCCAACACCCTCCCTTCACCGCACTCCCCCTCAGCGCGCCCCTGCCTCACGCACGTGGCCACTGCCGTTGCGGCCGAACTTCATCATCGCCTCAACGCCGTCGTCGCCGGACGTCAGCAGCTCCGTCAGTTTGTCCGTCAGTTTGATCCACATCCCGAACGACTCCGTTCCGCCGCCCTCGTCGTGCAGAAGCGCAAATTCCTCTTCCCGCGCGCCCCCTGCCGCGGCCGCGCTGACCTCCACCGCTGGGGAGGCGCGCCGCGAGGCCGGGCGGATGGAGCTCTTGCTCTCGCGGAGCATGGGCGGCGCGGGCTTGCTCAGCACACCCGGGGGCGGCGGCGGCATGGCGTCCCTGTCGCGCCCGTACCCGCGCCCTCGCCCACCCCCGCCCCCCCCTCCGCGCCCCGGACGCTTGAGCTTGCCCATGGGGCAGCGCGGGGAGTGCGCGGCGGCGAGCAGGCAGGTGAAGCGCGCCGATGGCGACGAGGCGGGCGAAAGGGAGTGGCGCTACCGCCGCTGCTGCCAGTCGCGCGAAACGAGGGATGGCCCTTGAAGCTTGCGGAAGAAGGCGCGAGTTGAGTTGAGTTGAGTCGAGTCCAAGGCACTGCGGAGGCGCAGTCGCGATTGGTGGCGTGGAGAAAGCTAGGGTGTCGGACTAGCAAGCTTCTAAATTGGTGTGTACATTTATGATTGTGTGAACTTTCATTCTTTACAAATCACCTTGTCATTGGTTGAAAACAGAAAGGCAAAAAGATCTTGTATTTCTTGTTGTTGGCTACCCCATTCAAATTTGGCAGGTGGTATGGGCAATAACAGATTTGCTATTGCATTAGAGCATTGGCATACACTACGCACACAAACATGGAGAATTTGTGGTGGGCTGGCAAGAAGATCCCCACGGGGGCAGCTAAGCATCGAAGCCAGAGTAGACGCCCTGGTCCCTGAGCTGCCGCTTCTCCTCCTCCACGTAGTTCTTCCCTCGGCTCGCCTGCCCCGCATCCCGCTTCCTCTTCTCGCGCTGGCTGAAGCTCATCGCAGCAGCCCCGCCCCTCCCTCGCTCGCCCCCTGCTTGGCGGCGCTGCCACTGGCGCTCTCTGTGCTCCGCTGCCAGGTCCACCTTCAGTTGCCGCGCCGCTGCCCCGTGCGCCAACGCCCTCGCTGCTGCTGCCTGCCACCACCACCAGGCACACGGGTAACAGGCACACAGGCAGAGACATGGGGAGGGGCACGTGGTGGGGGCAGGGTGTGAAGAGGGGCATGTGGTGAGAGGGAGGGGGAGAGGGCGATGGGGGGCAATGTTGGACAACCAGAACAACGCCTGGCTCTTATTACCATGGAGAACGGTGGTGAGTGGTGTGACGCGGTGGCAACATCCCCCTGCCATCCCTGCGTACCTCAGCGCCAGCATCACTTGCCAGCTCCTGCAGCTGCCGGCTCTCCTCCCGCGCCCTCCTCCGCTTCTCCCTCTCCTCCTCCCCTTCCCCCTCCGCCTCATTCCCCCGGGCACCCCCCTGCGCGTGCCCCTCGCGCCCATGCCCGCGGCCCCACTTGCCCCACTCCACGGCGGCGCTGGGCTGTTGGTCGGGCAGCAGCAGCACGGACGGGCCGCCCACCAGCCCGTGCCGCACCAGCGCCGCGTAGTCCACCGCTGCACGCACGCGCGGGACAGGGCAGGAAGAGAGTGGGGTAGCAGGGGGCGCAGAGCAGAGTGAGAATGCAGGAACATTACACGGACGAGCGCGAAGCTACATCACACCACCGCTCCTTCCCACCACGCAATCCTACCTCCGCCCTTGCGCTGTCCCATTTCCTCCCCGCCTCCGCTCGTAGCCTTCTCTTCCCCTCCTTCCTCCTCCTCCGCCTCCTCCTCCTTCTCATCCTCCTCCTCCTCCTCTTCCTCGTCTCCTTCCTCCTCGTCCTCCTCGCTCTCGCTCTCTTCCAACCCCGCTAGAGGGTCCATCGCTTTAAGCAACTTCGACATTCGCGAGACTCAAACGAGGTCGCACACGCCACCAGAAGCAACGTCTCGCTCCCACAACCTTCTCGTCACGCGCTCTTCCACGCGCTCCACTCCCTCGCCTCGCGCTCAAGTTCAATCCGAGCTGTCACTACCACCCCGCAGGTGCCTTCAAGTGCTAACGAGTGAGTGCGGAAGGTCTACCCGCAGTTGGCGGACGGCGCGCATAGCAGAAAGTGCTCGAGACGGCGCGCATAGCAGAAAGTGGCTGAGAGGAGTAGGCGCAGGATGATTTGGTGGACGAATTGGTCAACATGGTGAGGCGCGTTATTGTGTTGGCAAATGGCAATCATAGTAAGCGTAAAACAGAACTTCAACGGCTAGGCAAGTCTAAAACACCTGTCAATGTTCTGAAGTTTATTACGTATATGCAGTCAGTTTCGAAAGATTTCAACCGCTATCGAAATATAAAATATTAGCGGCTTCCTCCTCGTCATAACATGCAAGAGAAGTCCCATTTGATCCCTGTAGGTGTGTACCACGACTCCAAATATTTGGGATACACGTTAGAATCTTGTGACAAGATTAAAAAAACAGGAGGCGGTCAGGTAAGTGTTATGAAAGGATGCGTGGTGGTGGAGGAAATACCGGTAGAAGAGTTGTCAATATGGGATAGTCAATGGTAGGGCCAGAATTGAAGATTCAGCTGTGGTTTGTCTCGACAGTAGCTAACAACAGCACTACCCGAGGCGCACTCAGGCAAGGCTGCTGGGGACCGAGCAGAGCTGGTGTTCTGCAGCACAGGAAGACTCAACTCGCATTTCTTCATTCCAACAATCAAGCATCAAGGCATCTAGAGGCGCCTCCCTTTCTTGTCAGTAGGAAGCGCAACAAAAGAATAGTTGGCGTTGGTATGGAGCTAGCTAGCCTAGGTCCTAAGCTGTATTGGTCCTATGGCAACACGTTATTCACTGAAGCAGCAACTGGGCTAGGCGCCCTTGGTGCTGCATGCACGGCCTTGGGGCGGGGATGGTGGTGCACGGGTCGACTCAAGGCGTGGACGTGGACGAGGTAGTTTGGCAGGCCCATGGGCCATGGATTGTGGTGTTCTCGGGTTGCACGAGGTGGTGGAAGGGATGGTGCTGCGCGTGGCTGCGTGCCCCTCAGGCTGTGCCATCCGTGCAGGGTCAAGGAGGAGCATGGAGGATGGAGAATGGAGGGGGAGGGGGAGGGGGAGGGGGAGGGGGAGGGGGAGGGGGAGGGGGAGGGGGAGCGGGAGGGGGAGGGGGAGCAGGGGGAGGGGGAGGAGGAGGAGGAGGGGGGGAGGAGGAGGAGGAGGAGGAGGAGGAGGAGGAGGAGGAGGAGGAGGAGGAGGAGGAGGAGGAGGAGGAGGAGGAGGGGAGGGGCAGCTAGTGGAGGTCGATGTTGCACTGCTGCACCATGTCATCCTCCGCCAGCACGTAGCGGCTCCACAGCCCCTTGAACTCCTTGATCGCCGTGTCCAGCCATGGCTTCTGTGAGCCCATGCCACAGCAAGTGGGGGGGATACGTGATGGTAAGGGGCGGGGGAAGAGAAAAGAGTGAGGGAGCCAGCGGAGGCGAGTGCGAAGCATGAGGCGAGCAAGGGGGGTTGAAATGCACTGGGGATGGTGGCACAGGTATGTGCATGGATGGGCATGCAGGCACAGGGACAGGTGTGGCGAGGCAGGGGCAGGGGCAGGGGCAGGGGCGGGAGCGCACCGCGTTGCCGTTGTAATGCAGCACAGCGGCCTGTTGGATGAGGTGGGGCGGCGTGGCCTTGTCGTAGCCCAGCCCCAGCACGTGCCAGTGTGGGTCCAGCGGCGCTGTCAGGTTGTAGAACGTCATCAGCCCCGGCGGCAAGGTGCCCAGCTGCCACAGCTGCCTCTCTGAGTTCTGCGGCACACCCGGCATGGCATGGGGGGAGAGGAACGTGGTGGAGGGGCGATGAACGGGTGAGCGAGGGCACAGAGGCGGCGTGTAGACAGGCACACAGAGGGGCACACGGAGGCAGGAAAGAGAGTGGCAGGCAGGGAGGGAGGGGCGGGGAGAGAGGGGCGCACCATGGACTGGTACTTGTGGTAGACGTCTGTGAGGCCCTTGCGGCGCCACTGCGCGAGGTCAAACACGTTCATGCCGTACGCCCACCCACAGCCGTCGGGGTCAAAGTGGTCGCGGATGAAGGGGTGCGAGAAGTTGAGGTACTTGTGCAGGCGGTGGAAGGCGTCGCCCTCCCGGCACGTGTACACGGCGCCGTTGACGGCCCCGTGCAGGGGGAGGGAGAAGAGCGGTGAGAGGTCGCGCTGCACCACCACGTCGTCGTCCAGAAACACCACTCGGTCCAACGCTGGGAACATCTGCCATTGGGGTGAGGGGTGTTGGGGGGGGAGGGGGAGAGGGCATTAGGCACAGGAGGGGTGATGGAGCAGGAGTGGGTGATGAAATTGGGAGGAGGGGGGTGTGGGGACTTTCTGGTGCGGGGTGGGAGAGCAAGTGAGACAGGTGGGTGGTGCGATGGGGCATGTGCCACGGGCTGTGCAGGTGGCGTAGCACAGCAGGTGATGCACACGGCATCCAGGCACGGGGTGGGTGGGTGGGTGGGGCGGGAGGGCGTACCTCGGGGAGGTAGAAGCGGAGGTGGTTGAGGATGGAGAGGTACTTGGGGTTCTTGAACTTGAGCTTCTGCCCCGCCACTGCCGCCGCCGCTGCCGCCCCCGCTGCCTCTGCCTCTGTTCCTGCGGACCCCTGTGGCCGCGGCACCCCGCTGCTCGTCTGGTTCGCTGCTGGGGACGGGCAAGGGGAGAGGACGGGAAGGAAGAAGCGAGAAGAAGGAGGAGGTGAGGCATGGGGAGGGTGGTGGCGCAGTAGCCAAGGGAGTGTTGTCTGAGAGGCAGGCAGGCGAGCAAGCGAGGGCAGGCGAGCAAGCGAGGGCGGGGGGGGCTTACAGTCGTCGTGCTGGCTGAAGTAGAACTTTTTGAGCGCCTTGGCCTGCAGCTGGCGCAGCACGGGGCAGTAGGACGCGTTGAGGAACGCCAGCGACTCCACGGACGAGATCTCCACCGCCACGTGCGCCGGCGGGTGCAGCGCGAACCACGCCTGCATGGCCGGCAGGTTCATGCTGTCCGTCACCACGTGCACCACGTGCCTGCGCGCGCGCGCACGGGGGAAGGGGGGACGGGGGGGGCGCACATGGGGAAGGAGGGAGGAAGGGGGCGGAGACGGGGGATGGGGATGAGGTGTTGGAGGGAGGCAGGTGGACGGCACGTGTGCAAGGCCATGGCATCACAGTCGCCACCAAGGAACCTTTAATCTTTACATCTCTCCACCTCCCCACCCTCCAAAACGAGTCCCCCGTCTGCCACCCGCCAACTGCGCGTACCTGTCGGGGTTGTTGGAGTTGGCCTCGAGCGAGCGCAGCACGGTGGCGACGGCGAGCACGTTGTCGGAGAAGAGCGCGTAGTGCATCAGCGCGGGGTCCGTCAACAGCGCGCGCTGCTTGCGCTCCCGCCGCCGCGACGCCGCGCGCAGGTCCTTGTTGCTGCCGTATTCCTGCCGCCAACCATCGGGGAGGGCGGTTCCAGGGGAGGGAAGAAGGGAAGAGATGAGAGTGAGTGAGCTGATTGATAGAGGGTGCAAAACGCTATTTGACGCATTGCGACGCAGCAAGCGGCGAGCGAGAGAGCGACTTCCTAAACCCATGAGCGCAAGCCGGTGCGCGCAAGCAGTGGGCTTACGACGGTGAGGCGGAGGTTGAAGCAGTGCAGCGACTTGGGCAGCGCCTTGACCGCCGCCAGGTCGAGCTGGTTGCGCTCCGCCGTCAGCGCCGCCACCTTGGCCTTGCCGCGCTCCACCTCGCCGCGCAGCTTCTCGATCGTCGCGGAGTTGCCGCGCCACTCCTTGGCGCGTGCCGCCACCGCCTCCAGCAGCTTCACCAGCCCCGTCACCTTGTCGTCGCCGCCCCACGCGCCGCTCTCCTCCCACCGCGCCGTCACCGCGTTGCTCTTCTCCACCGCCGCGCGAATGTGCTTCACCAGCTGCGCGTTCCCCCGCTCCTCCGCCAGCGGGCGGATGCCCTCCAACACTGCCGTCAAGTTGCGCAAGCGCTCCACCAGATCCGCGCGCGCGGGGGAGGATGAGGGGGAGGAGGGCGAGGATGGGGCGGAAGGGGAGGCGGAAGAGCTGGCGCCGGGCGGGAGCGTGACATCCACCCCGCCCGCCGACCCGCCCGCCGACCCTTCCCGCTGCTCAGACGCGCTCGACTCGCCAGCCCCAGCAGCAGCGCCGCTGCTGGCTCCGCTTTCCGCTTCCCCCACCGCTTCCGCCAACACCGCCTTAACCCCCTCTGCCCCTTGTTCTCCGCCCCTTTCCCCCTCACTCCGCCCCGCCCCGCCCTCTGCCCCTTCCCCTTCTCCCTTCATCGCCTCCACTGCTTCTAGAAAACTGTTTCCGCCGCCCTCACTCTCCCCGTTGCCGCTCGCCGCCCCTTGCTCTTCCCTCGCCGCCATTGCCGCCGACTCCTCCAGCTCCGACTGAAAGGCGGCGATCGCCGCGTCCGTGCCGGCCGCCGGCAACTCCATGATTTCGCGATTCTCGTAGCGAATCTCGATGGGCTCGCCCACGCCCACCCCCACTACTGACGCGTCAGCCGCGCCGCTTCCTGCACACAGGAGGAGGGCAGCCGGGCAAATTGTGAAGGAGCGAAAAAGAAAAGCGAGGGGCAGAAGGGGAGAAGCGAGCGGAGCACGGTGAACCGACGGGTTCAGAAGCGATTTGGAGGAGCAAGGGGCGAGATGGCCAAAGGCGCGGGGCGGGATGGGTAGCGGATATAGCGGGAGGACCAGCGAGCAGAGGGGTGAAGACGGTAGGCGATGACGCGATGCGCAAGAGCGAGCGACATGGGATGGACGAGCACGCGAACATGATCACATGGGGATCGGAAGTGAAGGGATATGGGTGGCAGAACGGCGAGGCAAGCGCGGGGATTGGCGGCGTGCCTTGTCCTGTATGGGTGCGCAGGGCGCGTCGATTGTGCGGTGAGGCCCAGATGAACGCCGTGACGACGAGCGCGAGACACGCGGCCGGCAGTATGAGTCGCGCCACGCCCGTGTCGCGACTGGACGACTGCTTGCCGCGACGACTGCGCGGAGAGAATTGGGGGGGAGAATAGGCAGGAAGTGTGGCGGCGGGGGAGGGGAAGCCTTGAGGTGAGCAAGCGCAGGGTAGCGGTCATCTTGGGGCGCGTTTTGTAAACGGCACTGCGACGAGGCGAGTGAGTGCAGCGCGGGAAAGAGGAGGAGTACACAGGCGAGGGACAGCGACGGCTGGAAATGGGAGACCTGCACTGGTGGGGGAGGATGTGGCGATCGTGGAGCAAAGGCACCAACCGGCATGCGCGCAGCGCAGGTGCCTAAAGCTTTCTGGTTCGGCACCCTACCACGTGCGAGTACGCGACACATCAGGTATTTCGAGAGTTCATCTAAGCATCCCAGAATGATCCAAGGCCGCAGACTGGCTAGCGATCCAACCGACTAGACAGTGCCCGCAACAACCCGTCCTAAGCGATCGCACGACAGAAGCCGTGGGCGGCTTGCGTTAACGTACCTGAATGGAATGGCTAAGTCGGGTGACTTGCCTACGGCTTGGAAGCCGAACGGCATGGCTGCTGATTGACTTCTATGCTCTCTGATTTAAAATAGAGGATTACTTCGAGCTAGGCTAGGTTTCGTGACGGAGTGGTTCTTGATGAGGCTTGAGAAAACACAGAGGTGATGGTTTTCAAAAGTACTGTCGGCCGCCAACAATATCTACGAGCCCCACGAACTCAAGATGTTGCTTGGAATCAGTGTCATGCAGCAGCTATGTCGGTTGAAAAGAACCTTTGAGCCACTCGAGCATGATTCGCCAAGGGAAGGAGGAGAGAAGCATCTGAGTGCACAACCTGAGACCATCTATTGCCATGTTCGGTCATGCCAATCCTGGGACTGATAGTCATGGCAGCAGCGGGAAAGGTGAAATGTGGTGGTGGGGAGCGGCAGATGGCCATCCCTCCAGCCCAGTCGAGCTTGCCGTCGTGCCGCAGAAGAATTCGCGCTCGGACGACGCGGAGGACACGACAACGTGTGGTGGGCGTCAGGAGCATTCGCCAAGATTGCGCAAGCTGGGAGGGCTGCGACTGATGCCTCTGCTGGTGACTGCGCTAGCATCGCTGCATCATGGATGGTTCCCATGGTCGACTGGGTTGCCCCTCGTTGGCCATGGAGGTGGGGCGTTGATTTTTTTGTTGCACATAATTCAAACCATCCAAGCACTAACAAAGTAAAGAAGGATTGAGAAACCACTAAGCGGAAAATACACACCCGGGAATGTATTCTGAGCAACATTTCCATTTCACATGCCCGAGAATCTCTCAGTATCGCTGACCGTTGCCGCAAATTCGCGCCTTGTCAGAGCCGAGAGAATCGCAGCGCGCACCAGGTGAAGCCCGCGCACCAGAGCAAAAATGTCATACGACATCGCTTTTATGAGCTGCTCGTTTCAAACAGATGGCAAAGGAAAGCATGCATGCTAAAAATAGCTAAAATTGTATTTTCAGAATAATTACGTCATTGCTATTATAGATTCACTAGTATGCCATAACCATGAATTTTAAAAGAAAAAAACCTGTTTCTTATTTTGTTTTTGTATGTAACTGTACTTTTTTTATCCATCCAAACATTTTGTTACATTATTCCCAAGACCCCCTTTTGGACAACAACTGCACTTCACTTATCATCCAACTAATTTGTTACAAACAGCTACATAACAACCGCATTTTGCGATTACATCTTGGCCTGTCCCGGACGCTTCGCAACACCGTTGGATGAGACTGGTTATCGAACGGTGGATTGCTGGCGTCCGTATTCTCGAGAACCCCCCATCTCCCATCCTACTCACTGCACAAATTGCACAGGTCCTCCGCATTCTTTGTTTTGCCTACCTCCTCAGTGCTCGCTGCTCAAAGCGATTTGTTCCGCCTCCGCTTCTTGTCAAGCCACTCAAGCACTGGGATTACCATTCGTATTATTGACCCAACAGACGTCAGATTACCAGCATGGTGTGTGCTCTCCTCACTTCGTCTCGGAAAGGGCTGCTTGTTTTTTTATGGGCTCGACGGTGGAACCAACCACTTTTCCGTATCTGTTCTTCCTGTCTGCTTGTCGGGTGTCTGGCCCCTCCATGAAGCGGTCTAACAACATAGCAAATGGTTAAATGATTCGTTCTTCGGCTACTCCCCTCATGTTTTTATTTTTTCTCCATTCCAGTCTGGAAAGGGGGCCAAAGGACTTATGGGCAAGGGCCCAGAGGGTCTGGACAAGCTAAGAGACAAAAAGAAGCCAATTTCACGTTCTTCTAAAGCGGGCTTGCAGGTCAGTTCCAGCTAAGCTTGACCTCGACAACATAAACCGTAGTTTGATCGCTATGCGTACAGTTCGCCAGGTGCTGCAAGCGAAATCTCACCTGACTGTTGATTTGAGCAGTTCCCCGTGGGACGCATCCATCGCCTGCTCAAGTTGAGAGTGGCCGCTAACGGCCGAGTCGGTGCCACTGCAGCAGTGTACGGCGCTGCAATCCTCGAGTATCTGACGGCGGAAGTTCTAGAGCTAGCGGGGAACGCGTCGAAGGACTTAAAGGTGACCGTCGAATTTTGAATGCTATTTCGCTACAGCGTCGTTGCGTTGCCGCCTCGTTCATTGCCTTGACTTTTGTCTCTTTCTTCGTGTGGTGCACAACAGGTGAAGCGTATTACACCGCGTCATCTTCAGCTGGCGATCAGAGGCGACGAGGAGTTGGATACATTGATCAAGGTGAAACAAACGCTTAATAGTTTTGCCCGTCCATAAGCAATAGTTGCTGGAAGATTGACTTCTATTGCGGCTTTTCTCTGATGCTAACCATGGCGGACCGTTTCACGTCTTGGTGTTCATTCTTGCAGGGCACGATTGCTGGTGGTGGTGTCATCCCACATATTCATAAGTCACTGATCAACAAGCAAGGAGGAAAGAAGGATTGAAGGAAAATATTTTCCTTGTTCACACCACCTTCTGTACACGCATGAAAATAGTGCTTGTTGAGCACACCCTAGCTAAATAGCGTACAGTAGTTACCCACACTAACCTGTTTTTGTTGTAGCAATATATCTTATTCATAACCATTGAATCCCGCTGTCTGGGCTGAATTACACTGAGCTTACACTGGCAGCTCAGCTTATACGGTGACTCTTGCTTGTGGCCCAGAACAGGGTGGGCTTCTGGTTTGGCTCGGTGCTGCTGGATGTTGTGAGAGGAATATGGTTCAGACAATTCTGAGCTGGTAAGGGCGCGTCCCTACGGCCTCTTAACAGAAAATACTCGTCAGACTTGCGTCGCACCACTCTGTAACGCGCGTAATCACATTCAACCTCATTGTACCGCACAAGTCTGACAAGAGGTGCGTATGATACCGATAAGAGGCGCAGGAACATGCACTAAAACGCATGAGAATATACAGTGAGTTTACCAGCCACAAGACAGGCAAACCCCAAAGAAATGCTACATGAGTGGCAGCGCGCGTGGTCTGACCACAATGTGAGCAGCGCTGAGCCCTTCTCGCTCCAACAGCTGCTCCATCACCCTCCTCCGCCTCCTTTGGTTCTTCCGGTTGTAGCGCCGCCCGTAGTGGTCCCCTGCCCACCGCCGCGCTACAGCCTGCCAGATCATGTCCTCCGCCCCTCCGGGCTTGGGCGGCGTGGAGTAGACAAAGTGGTGTGCCACCTGCCAGGGTGTATGATGGGGGGGAGGGGAGGGGGGAGAGGGGGAGGAATATGGTGGCAGAATTTGCAAATGTGAAAGCTGAGGGTGAAAGCTGGAGGCAGATGATGCGCTGGAAGGGAGATGGTTTGAACCAGAGTTCAGATGACAGAGAGCCCCCCACCACCACACCCCTCACCCCTTCCACACACCTCTCTCAGCCGCTGCCACATGGCGAATGCTGATTCGTGCGACACGTTTCGCAGGAAGGCCTCGACGTATCCGGGGCGGAGGGCGAGGGCCTGTGGGAGGAAGAGGGCGAAGGCGGTGTAGTCGAGGGCCTCCTCGAATGGCAGGTCGAGTGAGTCCGACACCACCAGCGGGATGCAGTGCGATAGCACGGCGTCAAACAGCCGGCATGATGATGCCGTGTCGCCTGGCGAGGGAGAGGGAGAGGTGAGTACGAGGGCGGAGAGGGAGAGGGAGGGTGAGTACGAGGAAGGTCAAGGGGGAGTTCGCGCGAGGTGGGGAAGAAAGGGAAGCATGGCCAGCCACGAACAAGATTGCAGGTTTGCATGGTATGTGGAAGGAAGATCATTGTAGTGAGCAACGTAAGCAGAAGGAGGAGGGCGAGCAGTGGCAGAAGAAGGTGAGGGAGAGCAGAGGCGACCTTCAGGCACGAGGCAGAACTTGGAGGCGCGCATGCCTGCTGTGGCCGCCTGCACCCCTCCCTGCAGCGGCGACCCCTCCGCTATGTCCGCCCCACTCACGTTCGCCAGCAGCCGCGCCAGCTGCACTCGCATGGCCCCTCCCTGATGCAGCGCAGGGGAGGAGGTGGGGGAGAGGGCCAAGAGGGAGGAGACCGGATTGAAGGGGCAACGCGCGGGCGGGGTGGGTGAGTGGCTCAAGGGAGGGAATCAATGGCACTGGTTGAGGCAGGCTAGTCCGACCTGCATTGCATCCCTCTCTGCAGCTCGCATGCACACCTGTTGCCGGTTGAGCGTGCCTCTGAAGAATATCAGAGTGGGCCGTGCGGCCGCCCACGCTGCCACAGCCTGCGCCGCTCCCACACTGCCGTGCCCGCCCTCTGTCTCCCCCGGCAGCGAGTCGTTGAGGAAGGGCGGGATGAGGGCGGAGTAGGGCACGAGCACGTCCTTGTCTAAATGCGCCACCTGCTCCGCGGGCTGGCTCAAGTCCACCATCAGCATGTGCGCTGCTGCCACCTCATGCCGCACCGTCGACAGTGCATGCGGGTGCACTGCTGGAATGAGGAAATCTCGCCGCCGAGACACAAGGCCCCCCTTGCCTCCCTCGCTCTGCGACCTCTCTGCTGCATCGGCCCTCTCAGCCTCTCCAGCCCCACCATCGGGTGGTCCCTGCTGACCCTCCACCGGTGCGTTCTGCGCCTGCTCGCCCGCCTCTGCTTCCTTCCCCTTCCGTCCCCCTTTCAGCACCCTCAGCAGTCGTCGTCTGCTGCTGCCGCCAGCCTCCCCGGCACCACCACCACCACCACCACCAGGTGAGCCCTCCCCAGTCGACACCTCCACCTTCTCCAGCAGCTCGCCCTCCCCCGGCTGCCCCTCTGCCCCCTGGCTGGCCCCTCCTCCCTGCCCGCCCCCGTCCCCCCACAGCGCGTGCTGCGTGACCGCTGCCAGCAAGTGCTGCTCCTCCGGTATCCTCGTGTCCCCCGCCCGCCGCCGCCTCTCATTGCTGCCTTGGGGGGCCAGGGAGGGCGGAGAAAAGCAGGCAGAAGCGGAGGTGGGAGAGGGAGGGAAGACACGAACAAGGAGCACACAGGAAGCGAGCCAAGCCAGGATGCTTTCTCCACGGAGACACTGCTTGCACCACGTGGCAGGCTGTCACAAACGCACGCAAACGAGTACGAACCGGGCGGCACTGACTCACGTCTTCATCTGAGTGGCATAGAAGGCGGAGGAGAAGGCCGGCACGAAGACAATGTGGGCGTCCTCAGCCCGCCGCACGCGCTGCACGGAGGGCAGCCCGCCGGCGAGCAGGGAAAGAGTGAGCCAGTACTCGGCTGCGTACTGCTCTATGTGCACCCCAAACCCCTCCACAAACTGCGGCACCTGCACCGACCGCTCTCCACCCCCTCCTCCGCCTCCCCCTCCGCCCTCCCCCTGGCCGTCCTCCACCCACCCGTCGTCCTGCACCATGAACCCCAGCACGTCGCCGTCCGCCCGCGGCCGCAGCGAGTTGCCTTTGAACCGCCAGTCCGCCGGCATGCCGTGCTGCAGCTGCAGCTGCTCCCGGTTCGCAAAGCGCCACCGTTGCTGTTGACGGGGCGTGGGGAGAGAAGGGGGAGATGGAAGGCAGCGTGTGGGGGGAGGGTGGGCGCGGGAGAAAGGGAGGAGGTGGGTATGGTGGGCGCTCACAGTGGCGCATGGCATGGGGCGGCATGGGGACTGGTGACAAGGAGAGACGGAAGGGTGTGTGTGCTGTGCAATACTGAGGAGTGGCGGGTGGTCGTACCAGCAGCACGTGGAAATTGAGTTCGCCTGTCAGTGGCAGCATGTACACCCGCAGAGGCATCGGCACCTCCCCTCCCGCTCCTCCTCCCTCCTCTCCTTCCCCGCCCTCCCCTCCCTGCCCTCCTTCCCCCTTTCCTTCCGCCTCTCCCCCATCGGTTCCTCTCTCCGCCCCCTCTTCCATCTCCTCCGCCGCCCCCGCACTCCCCGCCAATGCTTCATCTCCCTTGAAAGCAGCCTCGCTACTCGCTACAGCGTCAGCAGCGTCCGCCATGGTCACTGCCTTTTCCCGAATCACGTCCGCCTGCTCTCCGCCCATGCGCATTGCGCTCTCCGCAATCCCCCCATTCCCCCCAAAATGCAACGAATCCCCGCGCTCGAGCTGCGGACCCCTACCCCTCCCTCGCACACGACCCCCCGTTCCTGCTTCTGCGACGGCGACAGCGTCGCCAGCAGTCGCACGGATGGCGCCGTGCGACGCGGCCCAGGGCACGAAGAGGAAGAGGAGCAGCGCGAGGAGGCTGACGAAGACCATCAGCGCGTACACGCGCGCCACGTGGCACTTGCAGCACAATCCACTCTTGCCCGCCGGGACGAACGGAGACGGCGGCCTCGCCGTGAGTCGCGGCGTCGCCATAATCGAGGCTCGAAGCGGTAGGCTGGAGTGGGGAGTGCGGTGAGTGCTGCGCGGATGTGCGCAGGAGGCGTCAATTCATGCTACGCTATCCCCGCGAGAATCCGCCGCGCTCATTCTACTGCAAATACAGCGAGAGCTGTACCGCGAGTTGCGCTGGCAGAAAGCAGCGATGACGAAGCGACAACTGCAGACTCGTGTTGTGGTGAGGAATGGGGCTTGCGGTGAGGTGATAGTTGCGCTACGCGCGACAGGCGCGCAAAGCAAAACCTTTAGTTCCAATTTCTACTTGGGATGAGGCGGCGCAAGTTGTTGGCAACCTCGTTATGAAGGTGCACAATTTGTTATTATTATGGTACAATCATGTACAGTATTTGATGTACATAGACATGCGTTACGGAACAACTGACAAGATACTTATCAATATTCGCGGATTCATTTATTGGGGCATCTGATGCTTTGCCATGCCAATCTGGCATCGTCCTTCAGTAATTCGAGTCGCGACTCATGAGACCCGTGCGGCAAGCGAACAGCCGTCACACGTCCTTCGCGTGCTTCCTCGGGCTACTCAACGCATTCAGAATGTTATGCCGCCATCCTCTTTCACCGGATCGCCATTTCGCGCTCGATTGTCCGCCCTCTGTTGGTGTGCCGCTCGAAAGAGTCCACCCTTCCGCGGGGCTTCTTCGCGACGTGCGCCCATCCGCTCGCTTTGCTCCGGTGTTCCGCCTCCCGCCGCTGCTGTCATTGGAATCGGCAGGCGAGCAGACACCGGCGTCTCCGCCGGTGGGGCTGCATTCCGAAGGGGCGGCGGAGTCACCGCGGAGCACGGGGATGGGGGTTGGCGGCGTGGAGGGGGCAGTGCGCCAAGGAGCGGCACTGGGCGAGGGCGAGGGGAGGCAGGAGGGGAGGAATGGGGGGATGACGAGCAAAGACGGGGAGCGCCTGTGCTGAGACGATGACGACGACGACGGCCGATCCTTCGCTGCTGCGACGGAACACGCAGAACGCTCAGCGCTGCTATCGCCATGCATCACCGACGCGCGTCGCGGCAGGGTCGGCGAAACCTTTTGCGAGGCACACGCGCAGGGAAGCGAGTTATGTCGCAACAGCTGGTAGCGCGCCGAACCCTCCCTGCCCGCGAACCCTGATTCCCCCGCGCGCTGCGCCGTGTCGTTGCGCACTCCCATTTCGTCGCGATTTGCGCCGTGCGGTCGCCGCTCGTCGTCCCCAGAGGTTTCCGCCAGCCCTTCCTCCAGCCACCGCGGCTCGTACACGCTCCGCCACACGCCCCGGCTGTCCGCGCGCGACCGCCCGCGCCTCGCGCCCTTCTCGTTGCCGCGCTCCTTCGACTCTGGAAACGATTTCGCTCGCTTCGCCGGCGTTACAGAAGCCGTCGCAATTGCGACGTTCAGGTCGTCGCAGCTGCCGCGCCGCGGCATTAATTGTCGACCGAACGACCTCATCTTCTCGCGCCACGCCCAGCTCCGCCTCGCACTGATCGCCCCAGCAGCCCCTGTCATGGGGCTTGACAGAGAAAACGGCGCGCTGTGCGGCACTTGCTCCAACGGCTCTTCCTCCTCCTCCTCGTCCGCCGCCGCCGCGTTCTCCCACAGCATTCCCCATTCCGCGGCGTCGAGATTCCGAAGCCTAGCAACGACTGCCGCCTTGCACTCGCTAATGCGTATCACATCCGCGGAGGCCATCTGTAGCGTTGAGACACTCAGCTAGCTTCTGACAATAGCAACTTGATCTGTATGGAAGAATGGGAAGGAAACTCAAGAGCGCCAGTTTCCGTTCACCAGAGATGAGGACGAAGAGTGCGTCTGTTTCCCCAATTTCAACACACATCTCATCCGCGCGAAGAAGTTCCTTGACTAGCAACCGACACCCGCATGCTTCTGGCTGACTGTCCTGTACCATTCTGTGCCATGCTATGCGGAGGTCGTGCTCGGCGCGCTGTGCGTGTCCATGCTACCCTGGAAGGTGCGACGCAACGAAAGGCCAATGGCGCACCACGCGCGACAAGCGACAAGCACTCCTGTAACTTCCGTCTGCCGAATGTCATTCGCCAGCGCCTCACGCGGCAAATGCAGTCAGCAATGTGAGCCGCTTGTCCGTTTTGCAGTCGGTGGCAGTCGGCATGGGCACGACAAGCGATGCCAGGGTTGGCACCCGCTGCCGTGTAACCGCAACTTCTTCTGAAAGCTTGTGTGCTGCACTGTATGGCTCGTGCGTGCGGTATCGTTGCTAACAAGTGACGTTTGAATGAGGATATCTCCGCCTAAGGGGGTCAGTGCTTCCCATTCGGCTATACACCTTACAAATGTACGGCATATCATAGACCACAGCTTAGTATTCTACAGAATTGAGAAGCCGAGAATTTACATATCAGCAACTGTTACAGCATGGCTCCTAGGTACACCTGCACAATGTCGTCACTAGCCTCCTGCTCCACCCTAACCTGCGCAGAGGGCGATCTCAAAAGCTCCACCTGTTGCTTGCGCATGGAAAAGATCGCCCAGCCGTAGCACACCACGCCTACGAGCTCCAGCAGGCAGCCGAGCAGGCTGATGGGGGCCATGGGCGTGCGGAAGAGCAGCCAGGAGAAGATGAGAGTTATCACCAGCTTCAGATTGCCCGCCACGTTGAACGTCAGCGCACTGCCATGGGGCCGGGGCCATTGGTGCGGGCGCAAGCCGTGGGAGGGGGGTGAGGGATTGGGAAAAAGGTATGGATGCATATACGCCATGGAGCAGGGAAGGCAGCATGAGTTTCGGGTTGCTGGGGGAATATGAGACAATGCGTGACTTGCACGGTTTGCACACGCTGGAGGTCAAGGGCATGGGGCATTCAAGTGCACACGGTGCCGAGGAGTGACGGTGGTGGTGGCATGCAAAGCTGCAGAGAGGCTGCTGGAAGGGGCGACTTACCTGGTCTTTTGAATCGTGTAGAAGAGGGAGAAGTTGAGGCAGAAAGCAAAGCAGCCACTAATGAGGATGGCGATGACAGCGGGCCAGGGGTTGGCCTGAGCCATGAACCACCCCCACAGCTGCCACCCCTCCAGCACTGCTGCTGGTGGCGCAAGAATGAGCGCCGAGTACGGCACCAGCTGGTACAGCTGACAACGATGAAAACAGGAAAGGGCGGAATGGAGGGGGTAAGGAAGCGGGAAACCAAGAGAAGAGGGGAAGGGGAGACAAAGAGGGAAGAGTGGAGGAGAGAGAGGTCGATGAGTGAGGGAAGACGCAAGGAGCTTCCCTTTTCTAAGGTTGGGGGCTGACGGTGCTGATGGATTCGAGGCGGTAGTGCTTCTATATGCGCAGCACCTTGGCGATTGTAAAGTCAACTAAACCATCATCAGGTGCAAGGACGAGGAGGAGACGAGAGGGAAGTCAGGGGGTGGCGAGGTGGGAGATAGGGGGGTGAGGGCTCACGGCGTTGAGGGAGTCGAGGCTGTACTGCTTGCCTTTGAGCAGCACCTCGGCACAGATGACAGTGGCACAGCCCAGCACCACACAGCACAGCGCCGACAGGAACGTGGGCAGCGCGAAGTGCACGGAGGGCGCGTAGGCCAGCATGGCCCCCGCCATCACCGGCAGCAGCGAGAGGCACAGCCGCCAGTCGTACTCCGCCTGTAGCGCCAGCGCCTGGATAGCCACTGCGCGAGCGGGGCGGGGGTGGGGGGAGGGAGGAGAGGAGAGGGAAGTTAGGGGTTGGAGGTCTGGGACGGGGAAAGGGAGGGAGGTGAAATGTGGAAGGGCACATAACCCGTGAGAATTGAGCGCGCTTGGCATGGAGTGATGCGCACAGCGCACCTGTGAGGCCGGGCGAGAGGGCCTTGGTGGAGAGGAGGGCGGGCAGCGGCACGTAGCGCAGGGAGAGCTGGCCGAGCACCACGTTGAAGCAGGTGACGACCGCCATGGGCATCACCCACGCCACCATCTCCCCCGCCTCCACCTCCGCCTTGGGACACACCTGCAGGATCTGCTCCGCGTGGGGTGCCACGCGATGGTCAACGGGGTGATGGCACAGCAGGGGAGGGGTGGAGATTGGCGGTAATATTTGAGTTGAATGGACTCGGGAATCGTGTTGGGTGGCATGGCATGACCCGCGGCAAGCATGGCCTGCGCCTGGACTGCCGCCCTGGGGCCCACGGAAGAGGGGCGAACGCAGGATGGACACGATGGGAGGTGGGGGCCGTGGGGGCAGGGGCACGAGGCGAGAGGCTGTGAGAGGCGAGTGATGTGTGGGGTCTAATGGGAGTGGCGTAGGTCAAATGGAATGAGCGAGTGGAAGGAGGGGGCGCGGGAGGCACGACTGACCTCAATAGCCGTGAAGGCGCCGACGAATGAGAGCGCGAAGTGGATGGCGGTGAGCGTGAGCGGGAAGGCAAAGCCGTACCGCTGCAGGTGGGGGATCAGGCCAGGGGGGGCGGGGGTGCGGGGCGCCAGCGGGGCAGAGAGACACGGGGCAGCGGGGAATGAGGGGCCGAGGGGCGGAGGGAAATGAGGCGGGGTACAGTGGAGAGGCAGACACGACAGGCATGCAAACAAGAAGTGATGGAGGGGAGGGGAGTGAGGTGAGTGGCGGGGTGGGGTGGCACCTGGAAGATCTCGTTGTTGACGAGGATCATGATAATGTTGAATGTGCACCACTGCGCCACTGACGCCACCTGCGCTGCACCGAGCGAGCGGCAGGAGGGGGAGTAACGGGGAGGGAGGGGGAGAGAGGGGGAAGGAGGGGGAGAGGGGGGAAGAGAGGGGGATGGAGGGGGAGACGGCGCATGAGGAACAAGCCCCCATCCTTGCCTTGCAGCACAAATCGCGCCAACCCCATTCCCAATGTTAGGAGGGCAATCATATGAGGGCCATGTTAGGAGGCCACGTGACCTGCCAAAAGAACTTGGGCGAGCAGATGGCGCGGCACGGCTCCACCAAACAGCATGCCGCTCCGCTGGGATCCAACGCGCTGCATATCCACCCGCTGCCTCCCCACCCGCTGCCTCCCCAGCTACTGCTCCGCGCGTGCCGTGGCGACGGCCGGGACTTGCGCGACTGTGACCACGACGATACGGCCCGCGAGTCATCGCCTCGTCCTGCGCTGGACGCGTGAGGGGTTCGGATTGTATTCGCGGTTTGAAATGTTTCAGGCGAAGGGATTGCACGTAAAGCTTCTAACACTTGAGATTTCAGCCCAAACAGCACAGCACAGCACGCCACCCATCCTAACCATGACAAGTGTCCGGCCACGTGAACAAATACGGCTGTTGAGAATCGCGGCACGCCATGTCTAACGACTCGCGAAGCGGAGGCGACAGGATCACTCACTGCGGCGGCGACCACGCGGAGAGGAAAGCCTGCGACTCGCTTCCTTCCCCGTCGCTCAAGCTGCAGCTGCCGGGCTCCAACCGGCTGTTTTCCAACCGGTCAGTCTCCAACCGGTCATTCTCCAACCTGTCGGGCTCCAAACCGTCAAATACGTGGATTCTCGCGCTAGTGCTCGGCGCAGAGGCGGGCGTGGAAGCGCGGCCTCTGAGCTCGGGCGCGGAGTGGTAGTCGGCGCCGGGCGAGCACGGCGACGCGACGCTCAAGTCCTCGAGGCTTCCTCGCGGCCGTTCCATCAGCGCGGCAACGCGCGTTACTTTCGCGTGCTAGACTTCTAGGTCCTAGCGCTGGAGCGAGCAGGGTTGGTTATGCAGAGAGCATGGTTGGGATCATGGTACTGGACCAACTGACGCAGCACACAAACGCTCAGGCTAGGCACCTTGAAAAAATCATCTTGAGTTATTTGCCAATGCTATGATGCTCAAAATACAATATGGATCACGGCTTTGACACAGCTGCTGCTGCTTTATTCTCCCGAAGCATTATCAATGACCTGACCAGCCTCGCAAGAAATATATGGATCTGCTTCAGCTCGTCGTTCCAGCCCTTGAACTCGCCGGCAATCGGAACGAATGCGAGCAGAGCAACTGAAGTAGAATCGAGGGACGCTCCGAGATGGATGGAACTTGGAGGGGAGGACTAACGAACGGAAAGCTGTGATCGTTTCAATTGCGGCGAATGACGTTCAACCGTTCGATTGCGGGAGCACCCGGTGGGTTGCGACTTGACGAACTATGCGACAGACTTGGGTTTGGCGAGGATTCTGGCTTCCTCCACACGATGTTTGATCTGATCGCTGTTGTGGCGAAGCACCTCGGGTTGTAAGCATTGTTACAAAAATTGGCCCTATTTTCACCTAAAATGATTCTTACATAGAGAAACATATGCTACTACGGACAGCTAGCAACACGTAGAGCAAACGCGCTGGATAATCATTTATCACACCTATTGGGCCAATTCATCACGTGCTGCAGCGAGTGCTACTTGCTGCATGTGCTGCTTGAAATTGAACCTCACCACCCGAGGGCTCACCGCAGTGATAGGCACCCTTCCTCCCGATGAGGTTGGCCTTTCCCTCCCCGAAACACTCCCCCAACTTGCTTCGTCCAAGCTCTCAACCCTAACAGGGAACGCCCCCTTGTCTTCCCTCCCCATGCCAATCTCCCCCTCGCAGTCCCAAGAGGCCGACAGGTGGTGATGTCGCCCCACACGAGCCACTTCCCCGCCTGTACGCCCCCTCGCGCCCGCATCTCTCTCCGCTGTCTTGCTCCGCACCAGCCCCTGCCCCCCTAGCGCCTCCGCCCATGCCAGCTCATCACTGTGCCTTGACCGCTGGCGCCTGCCTGCCACATCCACTCGAAGCCCTTCCCCCGCCCTTCCGCCCGCGCGCCCCCTTCCCGCCCTCAACCTGCCGCTTCTGTTCCCCACTCCGTCGCTGCTGGGGGGCCGGGGAACGACAGGGGATGGTAACGGTAGCGCGGGGGGCGTGTCAATGGGTGGAGGGGGGGGCGCAACAAGGGAAAGCGCGGCGCTTGACCAATCCGAGGCGGAGGCGAGAAGCGGCTCGTCGGCGAGCTGCGGCTTGAGCTCGCCCGAGGCAGCACCCGATTCGCGCAGCACGGCAGGGGCTACTGGCGCGGTCTTGCGTCGGGAAAAAATGGGATCACGCGCGTCGAAGTAACGGGGGGAAGCGGCGCTCTTGCTGGGGGCTGTCTGCGGGCGCACGGGACGAGGCGGCGCCGATACGATTCTGTCGCGTGAGCTGTTTGATTCGGGCGGCGATGCTGAGTGCTTATTTACAGAACACGGTCGGTCTACGCCCTCTGGTACACCCGTCGCATTCGTCGCACTCGTCGCGCGCGGGGACAACGAAATGAAATCGACGCCTTCCGCACGCCCCTCTGGAAGATCACAATCAGCACGGCGATTTGGATCCGCGCCGCCGGGTTCCGAATCCTCTCGCTCGTCCACGCTCGTCGCCTCCCGTCCAGCCATTTCGCCATGATAAGAATCGACCGCCAAGTGCTGAAACGAGGCGCTTCGTCGGTAGAGGTCCGCGCCGTCCTCTCCGCCATCGTCCGCAACGCTCTCGGCGCTCTCCACGCGACAGCTGCCGACCCGCAAACTCAAGTCCTGTTCGGCGCGCTCCTGACGGCGAGCGCTCGAGAGCAGCGACGGCAGCAGGCGCTTGTTCTTTCTGTCTGCGATAGAAGCCGCCGATTTGTCCGATTTGTCCGCAAACAGCATCCGCTGCACCTTGCGCGCAGTCGACCCCATCACGCTCCACTTCTTTCCTGTCGCAGCCCCTTCGTTCGTCGTCGTCGCAGCGGTGCTCGCAACAGAGCAGCCGTGCGCCGCGACGACTTCATCCATGTCGGCGGCGCGTTGCCAAAGATCCCCCGACCCCATGATGGACGAAGCGCGCTGCAACGGTCGCAACACATACGCGTCGAGCGACGCCGTGATATGCGGCGAGGCCTCGGTTTCTGCCATGCCTAATTGGTCAACTCTATTCGGAAACTAAGGAAACTGACGATTTCAGTGTGGATGGGAAGTATGATGCCAAAGACCATCAGCCCCACCACAATGCAGACATGCGTACAGTGTGTTCACAACTGAGGGGGAGGGGAGAGCACACAGTGGAGCACTGTTTGTGGAGAATCTGGTCAGGTGTGGAGCACTGTAAACTGTGCAAGATGCCTCCCAGAGTGAAGCGACATGCAAGTGGAAGAAGTGAGGGTGTTAGCTACAGCTCTGAATTTCCATTTCTCTCCATACCAGATGCACGCATTACACAGAAGTCAAAGGTTGTATGAATTCACGCGGTTTGAAGCAAACCGCTTAGATCAAAACATGTTATTTATGAAAAGACCCTTGGAATTCACGAGGTCTGGAGGAAGGAACTACCCAACCCAAATCTGGGTGATGCTACAGTACCACCGTTTTTGGAAAGAGTACGCAACCGCACAAGGAACTTTTTGGGAAGATTTGTGGTTGGAACGTTGAGAGATGTGTTCCATTGATGAATGGGTGTTGCGTGGGCACTCGTACTCACTCGAAGTGCCAGACTGAGAGATCACTTCACAGGTTGGGCTATTCAAGTGCACTTGATTTAGGACGTGGCCCAGACCGCCTCTGATCGGCGCTGATCTGATCGGGTTGGATCTGATCGGGTTGCTTCTGATTGCATTGCTCGCGCCGCCCGATCAGTGCTGATATTCCTGGAAAACTCAAGGCGCCTGCCTCGCAAGCGTGTCAGCATTTCCTGATTCTTTCGTCCCAATTTTGGCGAGTGCGAAGACGTTGCGAATTTTCTGTTTCCACGTAATCTCGCAAATTACACTTAAGTTAATGTTTGCGCGATTGTGTGACGATCTCAACGAGAAACTGTAATTTTTTTCGCAAGCGTCGCAAGGATCCCCATCCCATGCAATCAACTGATCGTGACTGATTGTGTGTGATCGTGATTGATTGGGGTGTTTGAGGCGGTTGATTGAGTTGGGGCGATCAATTGATCGCGATCAGTTGATTGCCCCTGATTGCCTGAAATCGGCATAGGGGCTTCCTGGAAGTTATTGATCGCCTCTGATCGAGGCAATCAGAGGCGGTCTAGGCCAAGTCCTTAGGTGGAGTTCGTGGAGGAGGAGATCCGGAAAAGTAAAACAATAAAAATATTCGGGGCATGGCGAGCGCACTCCAGCAACACCTGAACAGAGTCAGCCTTTGACCCTGTGGCCTGTGGTGATGAGTGGCACGTAGTGAAGTAACAAAGGCAGCCGCGCCGCAAACAATTTCTATTCGTTGAGCACAAGCGCCACATCGTGTCGCTCGTTGGTCCATTGACAAACACACAGCTGCGCAACAGCTGTCCTTTGGATCACAGTCCCACTGGACCAGCCCATCCTTGCCAGCCCGCGCTATGGTGCGCGCTTTACGCTACGTTGCTTCACACAAAATGACTGAAGCTTATAACATCAAATCAAACACGTATTCTACACTCTAATAGCCTCTAATAGCCACCACTGGGCTCCAGCAAAGCCAAGGCCTTTCTAATAAAATCAACAGCGGTTGGAACATCACTACCCGCAAGCGCACTCACGGCATATCGAGCCGCCTTGTGCGCATCCGCTATCTCACGAGGCCCTGGGCCTTGAGAGCTTGAGAAGCTGCCCATCGCTGTAGACCCATTTGCTGCTGCTGCAACATTCTGCCCTGCTCTTGCTCCTCCGCCTGACGCCACACCCCCACCACCTCCACCGTACCCTGAATGTGGAGACGCCTGCAATGGGTGTGCCCCAGAGGCACCCCCTGCTGCCCCCACGCCTGGGCTGGCAGCAGCAGCACCGCCTGGCATGAAGGAAAATGCTGGGCCAGCAGCAGCCGCAGTGGACGCAGGGGCAGAACCAGGGGCGACATTGGGGGCAGGCGGGGTGGCGAACATGGGGTTTGTGAATGCACCTGCGCCTACGGCTGCGGCTGCTGCTGCTGCCTGTGCCTGCTGGTAGGCCGGCGCTGCAGCAGGATGGACCCATCCGTCTGCTCCCTGGGCTGACTGGATCGAGGGAGCGGCAGTGGATTGTGGCGCAGCAGAGGGGTACTGAGAGTCAGGAGTCCAGTGGGTGAAAGTTGGTGGTGAGGTAAATGAGGGGGCGGAGGGCAGGGAAGGAGCGGAGGCAGGAGGGGCGCCGGCAAGGGAGGTGATGAACGCACTGTCTTGCTGAGGCGTGCTCTGCTGCCATGCCTGCGACGCCTGAGACGCCTGTGCCGCCTGTGCTGCCTGCCCCTGGGGTGCTTGCGAGTAATCCCCATGGCCCTGGTAATACGGATTCGCTTGGCCATGAGGGTTGGGCTGCATGGCAGCGCTGCCACCTCCCACTGGCCTTGCTACCTGCAGCCTGCCGGAACCACCCGTGGCACTGGTGCCACCAGGGGCAGCTGGGGCAGTGTTGGCACCATAGGCGCTGGGAGGAGGAGGGCCAGAGAACATGGCATCCAGGGAGTCGGCTGAGGGGAACGAGGGCGCTGCAGGCGGGGCCACGGCAAGGACTGATGCAGCCGCGGTAGCATCGGCGGGAGCAGCAGCGGCGGCATCAGCGTCACCCCCTGGCGGGCCGGGCGTGGGGCGCCTGCCGTCCGCCAGCGCCCTGCGGATGTCCGCCGCCTTCCACACCGCGTAGCGCTGCTTCTGCTCCACCTGCCGGGCGAACAGGCGAGGGGGCGAGGTGATGAGAGGGGAAAGGAAAGAGTGGGAGAGAGAGGTGGAGAAGGAGAGACGGGAAGAGGGGGGAAGGGGGAGAGGGGAATGAGGTGGAGGGAAGCGGGAGGGGCGAGGGCACGGAGGAGAATCTGTGGCAAAGGAGGAGAATCTGTGGCAAAGGAGGAGAATCTGTGGCAAAGGAGGAGAATCTGTGGCAAAGGAGGAGAATCTGTGGCAAAGGAGGAGAATCTGTGGCAAAGGAGGAGAATCTGTGGCAAAGGAGGAGAATCTGTGGCAAAGGAGGAGAATCTGTGGCAAAGGAGGAGAATCTGTGGCAAAGGAGGAAACTGGGGAGGGAGGGAGAGAGGGGAAAAAGCAGGTGGGGATGAGGGAGGCTAGAGTGTGCGCAAGGGTTGCATGCATCACGACCGGGTGACTGCATCCGAGAGGCAAGAAGACCACTTCCTCAAGGGTCCAAGACGAGCGAGGGGAAGTTCAGTGCAGGTGGGCGGGTACCTCAGGGGCAAGCTCCCCAAACTGGCGGCACACTTCAAAAAATATCCCCGCCGCGTAGAACGTCTTGGCCGTGCCCCTGGGGGACACGGGGGGGAAGCAGGGGGGGGGGAAGGGAAGGAGGGAAAGGAGGAAGGTTGGGATAAGGGGTGCTGTGCGTGTGATGAGTGGAAGTGACAGGGCGTGTGGTATGAGTGTGGAGGGCGGGTTGGAAGGCTTAATGCGCGGAGCTCGTAGTGGTGTGTGCTGGGAGTGGCACACGCACCAACAACGTCCCCGCCCCGCATAGCAGTGGCACGCACTCATCCCACTCATCGCCCCTACCACACACTTCCTCCCCCCCCACCCTCCCCCATTCCCCTTCTCCCATCCAATGAGCCGCAGCGCCAGCAGCAGCACCCCACATCACCCCACGGGGAGCCATGCGAGAAAACGCACATGTCAGCGCGGCTGGCGCGGTCCTGCTTGTCCGCCTTGCTGAACACGCGCTGCGCGAATCCCTCCACGTGCAGCCCGTCGTCCGGCGACAGCTGCAGCGCCACCTTGTCCTGCCGGGCGGAGGAACAGAGGGAGGGGTGCGAGGGGTTGGCAAGGTGCATTGACGATTGAAACAGGACGGGGAGACAAGGGAGAAATTCCCTCCCTCCACGTGCAATCTGTCGACTGGGGACAGCTGCAGCACCGCCTTTGTCCTGCCAGGCAGGAGCATGTGGCAGGCAAGGTGCATCAACGATTGAACCAGGGCGGAGGGATGGAAAGGAGACGCTGCAGCCCGCCGTCCGGCGACAGCTGCAGCGCCGCCTTGTCCTGCGGAGCAGATGATGCGGGAGGCGCACATGGCACAGGGCAGCGGTGCACATGGCACAGGGCAGCGGCGCACATGGCACAGGGCAGCGGCGCACATGGCACAGGGCAGCGGCGCACATGGCACAGGGCAGCGGCGCACATCGCACAGGGCAGCGGCGCAGAAGCAAAGAGAAGCTGTGCAGCATGAGGAGGGGCGTCCGAGGGCAGGGGAGACATGGCGCAGTGAATGTGACGGGCATTGGTGGAAACACGAGGGAGAGGGAAGGGAGAGGCGGGTGGCATGAGGCCCAGACGCTGCACGACGTGCTACGTTCCTTCCCGAGGCGGGCGTACCTTTTCGAGGCGGCTCATGATGGAGACGAGCAGCGCGTTCACGGCCGCGCTGCGCTCCTTGCTGGGCACGCGCAGCCCCTTGTCCATCGCGTACAGCCGACCTGCCACGCGCGCGCACTCCAATCGTTAGGTTTTCTGCTGCTTTCTCCTTTTTGTTCAGATTTTATTTCATGATATCTTTACTTGGGACTTTAACGCGCGTACAGTAGTAAGCGACGAGCGGGTCGTGTTTCTGCAGCTCATCGGCGCGCTGCAGGAACGGCACCAGCGCCTTGCCGTTCGCCAGCTCGTCGCCCGACAGCGACCCCGCCATGCCTGCGACGGCCCGCCGACCAGCTGAGTCAAAAAGATTCCGGTCAGGCAGCGGACCGACGCGGGAGTTGCAAACCCAACCGAATGGTCCTATCCGTGAAAAACGCTGCTGCTCGTGGCTTCCTGGCAGGTGTGGAACAGCGGGTGAGTGAATTCCTACGTTGCTCAAGGTGAGTCTGCTTCTACGGTGCGTGACAACACTAATACACGCTGCGACGAAGCGAGCAAGCGCTATTGTCGCACTGCCCGCGAGTGGCGGAATGGCAGTTTGCTGTGGTGCTCGGCAATTTCTAGGTTGAGTGCCTGCTTGAATATTTACTTTTCCGCGTTA